TAATTTTTTATTTTTTTGCGGAACCAGGGATTGAATTCAGGCCCTTCCGCTTGCCAGGCAGGCGCTTATTCTACTGAGCCATCTCCCTGGCCCCACCTGCGTCATTATTAATGCCAGTTTTTACCAGCATGTTAGAGGGGATGTTGGGCAGGCAGGATCATCTCCTAGCCCCTCTTAGATCATGTTGTCTAGTAGAAATGGAAACATCTGCAGAAACAGTAGTCAGAGCAAGTTAATGCTTATAAACTACCTGAGGAGATGATAGAACAATTGGTGGAAGGTAGATTGGGAGCAGGGAGTTTATTAGTTTGATATTTGGTTAGTTCCTGTAGAAATGGAAGACTGGGGCCTAACCTAGGCATTGTCTGAAGGGCTTTCAGTAAAGTTGAGGCAGGATGGGCAGGCCTGAGGGGTGGAACAGGGTGCTGAGAGTATGGATCAAGAAGACTGATCTAGTTTTTCTTTTGCTCAGGATCCCCGGGTACTTGATGCCATGCTCCCTTACCTCATCAACTACTATGGGAACCCACACTCCCGGACACATGCTTATGGCTGGGAGAGTGAGGCTGCTGTGGAACATGCTCGGCAGGTTAGTACAGAGGAGTCTGAGGTTCCAGTGTCACTGGGTTTAGTGGCCTGTTGGAGGCATTTCCTTTATGGTAGTTAGGGGCTCCAGGCAGAAATGGTTTGGGGTAGAAGAGATTCAGAGAGCCACTTTGGAGTTTGACTGCAGGCATCTGATTGGTTCTGGAATTCCCTAGCTAAATTACCTTGGACAAATTATTTTCTTTAAGTCTAAATTTCCCCACATTTCAAGTGGACAGTGCTTTAAATCCTGCTATTGTGAATTAAGTGAGTCAATGCTGGTAAAGCTTAACACACTTGCACATGAGAATTCACAACATAGTAAGAGCTCAGTAAGTACATCTTTTTCCCTTAATATCTGGCTATATACATTTTTTTGCATTTTAAAATTTTATTGGTACATTTTAGATTCATGTAATGGTAACATTCAGTGCAGAGAGTTCATACCTGTACATGATATATCTTGCTTTTCTTTTTTTTCTGTTCCCCTCCCTTTAAAGCCTCTTCTCCTACTTATTTACAAAAGCATTGTTTCCATTTTTTCCTTCTATTCTTTTGTCTCCTGTTCTTTTTTTCCTTTTCCCTTTCCCTAATTTTAATCTTCTGCACGTGGAAAATCAGCTTTTGTAGCACCATTCATTTTGAGTGAGGATTTTTTATTCCTTTTTGAAAGATAAGGTGACTGAATATGTTTGGAGTTGTTTATTCATCTTCTAATCTGTAGCAGTGATCCTTGGTTCTGTTTTTTTTTTTTTTTTTCTGGTACCTTGCTGTTTTGTTTTGTTTGTTTGTTTGTTTATTTATTTATTTATTTTGGCAGAACCTGGGCTAGCACTCAGGTCCTTGCACTTGCCAGAGAAGTGCTTATTCTGCTGAACCATCTCCCCGGCCCCTGCCTTGCTGTTTTTTATCACAATAGCTTTGTATTATAATTTCAAGTCAGTGTCTCAGTTACTTTTTACTCGTTGCTGGGACAAATACCTGACACTCAAAATGAAGGAAGGCAAGATTTATTTATTTTTATTTTTATTTTATTTATTTATTTATTATTATTTGTGTGTGTGTGTGTGTGGCCAGCTCAGCCCACCTGGGGGGCAGGGCTGGCTGGCATGTGGTGCTGGGGGATTGAACCGTGGTCCCTGTGCTTTGCTAAGTTTGTTCTAAGTAAGTGCTTTAGACCACTGAGCCATCTCACCAGCCCTAGGATTGTAAAATTTAAACTAACTTAATCTTTTTTTTTTTTTTTTAGAACTGGGGATTGCACTCAGGCCCTTGCGCTTGCTGGGCAAGTGCTTATTCTACTGAGCCATTTCCCTGCCCCTAAACTAACTTAATCTGTCCCTTTTCTGACCCTAGCTAGACCTAGAAAGTGCAGAGAGCTTCCTGGGTCCTGGCCAGTTAGTAGAATGCGTTGGAGTTCTTGTTGCTCCAGGTCTCTCTTCTAGATGTATCTGCAACCCCATTTCTGTCTGAGGAATTAATGTTTCATATCTTTGTTTCCTGGTCTGCAGCAAGTGGCCTCTCTAATTGGAGCTGATCCTCGTGAGATAATTTTCACTAGTGGCGCTACTGAATCCAACAACATAGCAGTTAAGGTAAGAGAAAGGTGCAGGGTGTGGTTCAGCAGCAAAGCGCTTGTGTAGCAATGTGAGGCCCTGGGTGTAGTGGGTGGAGGAGGGATGGACCAGGTAGCGTATCTGGGTCTTTTTGACTTTGGAGGTAAATGTTCCTAGATCATTTAGACAGATTGATGTTTTTTGAGTCACCCAGTCCCACCCTATTATGAAAAGAAGACATATACCTGATTTATTACTTTTTAGCCCTTTGCAGTCTACTCAAGGTTAAGGGTTTTATTTTGTTTTTTCCTCTATTGGTTTGATTCAGTGTATTAGTTGGACAGGAAATGAGGTGGTTCTTCAGGTACTGAGCTTCATCTTTTTTTTTTTTTTTTTCGTATTTTTAGGGAAGGGTCTACAGGGTGTTCAGGGTCTCACTACTAGATAGGACTCTTAGTGATCTGCCTCTTTACAGCCTCCCAAGAGCTGAGATTACAGGCGTACACCACCCCCAGTCTCAGTTGCCCTCTTAGCACGCCTGGTGGCGGGGCCAGAGGTTTTGTTTTTGATGGCAGCTATTTCAGAGTGGGTAATAGTGACTAAATCTTTTTCTTCATTTTTTTATTCTACTAACAGTGAAGGCCAGGATCACTTTACTTGGTCATATGTCCCTGCTTCTTGTTTGCAGTTTTACCCTTATTTATTTCATTCCAAGGCTGCCTTTGTATTAGCTGCACTTTTATTTCTTTTATTTCTTTTTTTTTTTTTTTGGCGGAACTGGGGATTGAACTCAGGCCCTTGCGCTTGCCAAGGAAGCGCTTATTCTACTGAGCCATCTCCCCGGCCCTTTTATTTCTGATTAGACCTGCTCATCAGAAATTCCTCTCCATTTTGATGTGCCTTCTGTAGACATGCTCTTGTTGCTTAGTCTGAGATTATTCTGTCCTTTGAACATACAAATCCTAGGTGCTAATGCAAGAATTACACCCTTACTAGCTGTGTTGACATCTCAGAGCAATCACATTTGACTGGGCTAAGATTACTTGAGTAAATGTCAGGGCCCCGAGAAATTGTGGCCTGCTGTAAGCTTGGCTCTGGCTCTAAACCCTCTTACCATTCTCTCTCAGCTATACTGCCATTGGTTTTTCTGACCTCTGTCTGAGTGTGAGAAGCCTGTGCTAGGATCCAGAGTCAACAGCAC